TCCTGTGCTTACCGTCAGCGACTAACTTATCTAATTGAATACCTGATGGCCCTATCCCCGCCGCTCTTCTGGCATCATGCAGAAGTGCACAGTTCTCCACTACATGGAGCGTGCTCTTAAAGCGAGGCGATCAAACAGGATTAGGGGCCACATGATATTTGATATATCTGAAACTCTGCGCACAGCCTCGAGTCGAGGCTGTGCGGTCGAGGCTCTCGACCGTTTTGGATGCTCGTTAGCCGACTTGGAGGAGATCATCATGATCACGTCTTAGATTTTGTGCTGTCAGATCAAAATGGGTCGTGGACCTTTGATATGTCCAGTGGATTGATCGTCGGATCTCAGATGCTCGCAGGCAGGTTCCGTACTTCCCTCTCAGATCGTAGCTCGGCAGTCAGCATGTTCAGCATTCTGGTCACGGTAACAATCAGCGTCATCGCTTCAGCTGCACGCGATAGCTGCTCCCTCGGTGACATATTGTGTCAAGCCTTCACTGGCTACAGCGTTGCGATCTGCGACCATCCAAATGGCGTCTGCTCGTCTCATGATCGGCCCTCGATGATCCCTTGTTCTTGTGATGTCTGGTCTATCGTGCCATGGCCGTCAACAACCACACCTCTGAGCCCTCCATCCACCATATATGCGATCGTTACCTCGACGAGTACGAACGCACCGGCAACGACCACAGTCGAGGAGACTGAAGGGTCTACTGTAGAGCCGGAGCCTACGACGATGAATGAGGAGGCCGCTGATGCTACTACCTCTGAGGAGCGGCTCCTCAGGAGCCCATTGCCGCCACTACCTCTGAGGAGACCATTGCCGCCACTACCTCTGAGGAGACCATTGCCGCCACTACCTCTGAGGACCCCGCTGCTGCCACCACGACTGAGGAAGCCATTGCCGCCGCTACGACTGAGGAGGCTGCTGCCATCACTACGTGACGAGAGTGGCATGCCTTACTGTGATAACTACTGTATCGGCTTGAACAGTGGCAAGCCATACTGCAAGTCGTGGTTGTCTGTGCCCGTTGTCATGGCGGTGATCAGTCGTGTGATACTTCCGTATGTATTCCAGACGATTCTCACTCCGTTGAAAGTGCTACTTGTGATACCTACTGTTGTGACCCTAGGGAAGGTGAACTCGGCATAGCAGTGAAGGAGTTGATAAGAGATTTAATAATGATCCATCTATGATTGCAAACACGGAAATATCTAGCTTAGCGTATCACAATCTGAATGGATTACATATCTTAGGGCGATCGCACAAAAAGGGACATAACAACCTGCCCCCCTGCGATCAAACCACAAAAAAAATTTAACGGTAATACAAACGAACATTACGGATATGTTCTCGAACTTCAGTCTGAGGATCAGATTGACAGTCTTCTGGACGAAGATACAAAACGTAATCGAGAACCCTCATAACTACATAAACTTTATCACTGTAAGACCCAGCAGCACCTGCTCTGCCAGGCTTCATAGAAGGGCGAAAGATTAGAACCCTATCACCAGGCTTGAGCTTCGGCAATCGGCGCCTGACGGTCACATCACGATCGAAGAGGCTATGTCGAACCTGCTCCCGAACAGCTTCTCTGGCCTTATCAAGCTGTTCGGCACCCTCTTGGTTTACAGTCTCTTCGTCGGACTCCAATCTTTTAGAGGATAACAACGACATCTCCTCTTCTTCCAGAGCTCGGCGTCCAAACATAATATCAAATGGAGTAAGACTAGGGAGACCTAACACCGTTAAAGGTCTCGAATTTAGCCTTCGTATAGCCAAGCCGATAAAGCGTTCCCATGACTTAGAACCTTCGCAAGATCGAGCAACCAATCGACTAACCTTCTTAATACCGCCAACGGATTTCTCCGCTAGACCATTAGCCCAAGGAGAAAACCTAGAGCTATAGACAACCACAGTACCAACCTTACGCATCTCCTTCTTGAAGAAAGCGGCTCGGAAAGCCGGACCCTGATCACATCTTAGCTTAGCAATTAGGCCATACTCCATCATAATACCCAGAATGGTGAAGGTAACCGAGCGGCTCGTCTGGTCAGGCATCCCACGAGCAAGAGCAAAACGGGAATATGAATCCACACAGACGAGAACATAGCTGTTTCCACTTGATTGGGAGACTTCAAACGGTCCACAAACGTCAACGCTCACCACAGCAAATACACGAAGAGCAACAGGGTCTAAACGTGCATAATCATCACCTTTGACAAAACGCCTAGTAGCAGACCGTTGACAAAGCGGACATGTCTTACAACACCAGGAAACCAACTTATTCAAGCCCTTAATCGAAAATACCTTCGTGATACGCTGCTTGGTATACCTTGGGCACAAATGACTATACCTTTCGTGAAAGGCACGAGTGATACGCTTTGCCTCTTGAAGACCTCGATCAGTGTCCACTGGGATAACATAAACTTCGATAGGCTCTCGCAATGTATCACCGTAAGGATAATGTAGTCGACAAAGGATCCCGTCAGACAACAAACGAAGATTCCGAGTAGCTTCACTCAAGAGTACTCTATCCTTATTAGAGTACTTCTCGACATCATTCGCCGCCTCTGCTTCTAACCATTCACAATAGGTCTTCAACACCGGAGATTCTCGTTGCAAGCTACGAAGTCGCTGTCGAGGATCTTCTTGCCCACTCAAAACACTCAAATAATCTTCTTAGTGTATCAAAGGAAACTTCAAAGAGGACCCCAAATCACCATCACTGGCTTCGTCCGTGTCCAATACGGCTTGTAAAAGGAGACTCTCTGGCTCCACATCATCAAGACCCAAAGAAGCAGTAAGACCCCACTTCTCAACCAGTCTACTGAGGCGATCAGCAGGGTTCAGAGCACCCTCAACTTTACCATAGGTAACAGTTATACCACTGGCACGAATATCCGAGACCAACTCATTTATACAACATACTAACCTTTGTACAGCAACCTTCTCAATAGACTTAGCACCAACACGATTTTCCATCCACCGTAGAGCTGTCTGAGAATCCGCATATACGAAGATTGATGAAATCGGGGGCCCAATCGTCCTATGGCTACACAACATCCCATGCAAATACAGCATGAGCTTCCCAATAGCAGCAAGCTCCTTCCTGTTGATATGCCAGCTCCGTTGTGCTTTAGTACTCAGCCATATGCCAGCCTGCTCTGCCAAATCCCACACCTCTGTATTTGGCTTAGAGAGTTCCGGAATAATATCAGATATAGGGACCGTACCATTCACAACCTTGATACACCACCCGTAACCAACTGGGGAAGCATCTACAAAGCACACCAAACTAGAACCACCATAACACCAGTGTTCACATCGTTGGGCAGAATACTCCTCAAGAGTCGTAAAACACGAGGAAATGATGTTGAAGTCAGCAGAGCCATTCTCAATCGAGAGCAACTCATCTGCCTCCTTCATCCCCTTCCCAGCGATGGACCGGAGTAAATCTCCTGCTAGTCGTGCTTCACAATGCAATCGACAGGGATCCACACCAGTACCACCACAACCGGCAATACCAAGAAGTAGACGAGCAGTCCATTTCATATTGAAAGAACCATCAGGAAATCTAAGACCCAAAGGAATAGACTTTCTGCAGGACAGCACGAGATTTCCTT